GGGAAGGGGGCCGCCGCCGCCGCCCCCGCGCTCTGTCCGGGGCGGGCCCAGGAGTGGCGTGCAGGCAGTCCAAGTGCCAGAGCCCGGAGGCTGCCGGGGAGACGGGACACGTCACAGCCGCGGGGGCGCTGCGATCCCTTGGGGCGCGCCGGCGGGACCGGAGAGGAGGAGGTCCGAGCACCGGCTGGGCGCGGCGCTGGGCAGGGGCGCGCGGACTGCCCGCGCCTGGGAGCTCCTGCGACGACGGGAGCGGTCTTCCTCGATCCCTGCGGGTCGGGAGCTCGGAGCCCCACAGCCATCTGACCTCTCCTAGAAAGCGTTTAGCTCTAGCAGAAGGCGGGGAGCGAGTGCGGGGCTCTTGCGGGGTCTGCGCAGAATGCACAGAAGGTCGCGGCAGCGAGGAAAGCAAAGCGACTTACCTACCACAATGGAGAGTTTAGGCGGACCCAGTCCTGTGAGAAGTGGAGAACAAGGCAGCAGCACACACCAAAGACAGCTTGAAGTACGACCAAAATGCCTCAGGGAAAAAAAAAAAAAATTCTCGGGAAGGTACACTAGGAGGTCAGGACGAAAATTGTGAGGAGGTGAGAAGCAATGTGCATCCGGAACCAAACCACGCCTGCCACAGAGCAGCAGCAGCCCCGCTTGCTTTGATTCGGCTACTAGCATTTCTCCCTTTCCTATGTCAACACCGTAACGGACAACCACTTGTTGAAGCAACCATTTTAAAAAGTAAGAAAAAAAGGAATGTTCGTAATTTGTGTAGCATTGTTTTTGTGGACACAGCTTGAAAACCACTGCACATCATTCGACTGAGGCTCAGACTTGTAAGAAAATGTTGATATGTTGTTTAGCCGTTAATCTTTTCATGTTTAGTTAACCACACGGGGCCCAGCGGGAAAGGCCCATTCCTGGTAAAGTGTATTGCTTAAGTGGCCACTTTTAGACTGCAGCTGACAAAAATGGTTGCCTAGCTACTACCTATTGTCATAATTGCAGAGGCATGAAAATGGGTTGATGTCAGATCCAGTTGACAGACAACATGGGTAATTATATTCTATATGAAAAGTCATATTCATTTGGGGAAGGCAGGAGGACTGGGAAGTGGAAGGAACTGCACAGGGAACTGGCAAGGAAAAAGTCATCATGGTGTAAGAAAGAAAGATTGCCTGCTGAAGAGCACACCTTGCTGCGGCGTGCTTCTTCTCCACGAATATTTTAGCTCTCCTTGGTGATCCTGGCCTGGGGACTGGAGTACAGAGAAGGTTCCTAGTAGGGCAAGCATAATTTACTGGGTCACTTGCAAAGCCTACAGGCTCATATAAGCAGCCACTACCTCAATTCCTAAACTTTGCATGGCATGGATTCCTATGGGAGGGGATCTTAACCCCTACAGTGTTTCTTCCAGGCTGTAAACTGCAAATCAGTAACACCTTATCACTAGCCTTTGCCACCCATCTCTGACTACTCTCCCACCCCAACCTCCCCACATCTCACCCCAAGCAATCGGGAAACTTCATATGAATCAAAAGTGTTTCTCAAGAGGAAAACACTATGGGTCTGGTTCACAGCATAATTCTGCACTGCACTTTTACTATTAAATAAGGGGTTTTTGATTCATTGAATTTTCATAGGGCTTGTTTTCTAAATGATTTTATTCCTTGTCTGTCTTCAAACACCCCCACTCAACAAAAACCTACTACTGAACCTTTCCTATGTGCTTGCCTCTAGCTTTCCTTTAGATGGATACCTGATGGCAGGCCTGCCCCTGACTTTTACGGGTACCAGAGTAAGAGTGCAATTGGAGATCCTCACCCCAGACCCTTCCCTACTTCTCCTCCTGACCTCTACCCCCTAATCTCCTGTACCATGAGGAGACTTGCATAGAAGTATGTGGACAACCTAGTTCCTCATAACCAAGTTCTGTACAAATACCTTCACCAAAAGCCATCCTTGGGCCTGGAGATATACACCCTAAGCAGGTAGCTGACTCTTGGGTGTGTGGACCTGGGGAAGATGCCTGCATAAAGCCTTGGAAGTGAGTTCTGGGCCAACATTTGAGCAGGGAATTCCATGATCTCAGGTACCTGGAAGGTGGTCTAGAATTGAGGTGCCTGGGGCCTGGGTGAGTAGTGCCTCCTGGACCTAAAGATGCCTCACCTGTGGGAAGGTATGTGACAGGAGGAATACCAGAGTAGGGCCCTATATGTCTTGGGCCTATCAATTTCTCTACTGTGTTGTTCCGCTTTACTTGCTACCAAATATTCAAATTACTCCTTTCACTTGTTTTCAACACTGGGACAGAGGAATACATATCTGTGTGTGGAACACAGATGAACTGATAAACCAAATACACACACACACACACACACACACACACACACACACACACACACACACCCCTCCCTCTCTCCCTCCCTCCCTCCCTTAGTTTAGCAGTTCTACTGTGTTCCATGTTGCTAGATGTCTGACTGCAAGGATTGATTTGTTTGCCATCCCTAGTTCTTCAACTGGACCATTAGATTTGTTCAAGTCCAAGTCTTGTTTTATCTTATTAGTCAGTTCCCCCCAATTTTGAAGTTTAAAAAGTGCTTCTTCCCATTTCTAATTTTAGTGCAATTTCGGTTCACATAGAGTGCAGAGCTTCTCAACAGAAAACAGATTAACATCCTAAATTCTAGAATTGAGCCATTGGACTTTGCTAATTTTTTAGTTCTGTTTTTGGGGCCATTGTATTTGGGGAACACTATGTGGTCATTAATTTTTGTGTCAATTTGACTGGGCCATGTGATGCCCAGATAGCTGGTTACATGTTATCTCTGGGTATGTCTGTGAGGGTGTTTCTGGAAGAGATTAATATTCAAGTTGGTGGATGAAGTAAAGCACATGGCCTTCCTCAATGTGGGTGGGCCTCATCTAATCCATTGGGGCCTTAATGGAACTAAAGGATGGAGGAAGGTTGAATTCACTGTCTGTTTTACTGCTTGAGTTGGGGCATTGATCTTCTCCTGCTCTTGGTGCTCCTGGTTCTCAGGCCTTTAGATTTGGGCTGGAATCTACATCATTGGTTGTTCAGCTTCAAACTACATCACTGGCTACTGGGTCTTCAGTTTGTACACAGCAGATCGTATGACTTCTCAGCCTCCGTAATTGCATGAGCCAATACATTATAATAAATATCTATCTCTGTATCACTATATGTCTACATGTTTATCTGTATCTATCCTATTCATTATATTTCCCTGGAGAACCCTGACTAATATACATTACTTAAAGTCTAAAGTTCACAGTTTTCATTTATGTTTACATAAACTCAGAGAAGTACTATGGAAGGCAAGTTACTTACTGTAGGTCATTTTTCAAGAGAAAGCAAAGATAAACACGAAGGAAAAGCAAACTACATGGGGAGAAAGCCAACATTCATTCTTGCTCATAGTTCTATTTATGTTGCTTGCCTCTTTCAAAAGACAAATTTAGATTTGTGTTTTATGATTCCTATGCACATATAAATACATTTTTTTTCTAAAATTGTGTTCATATAACACCATCTGTGTTCTGTGGTATCCTAAACAAGGATTACGCCACTTCATTGTAGAAACAGAAGCCACTAAAAAGGAGACAGGGGATTTATTGGAAGGACACAGCGATAGTCTACCACCCACAGGGCATCAGTTTTTCCTTAAGTTCAGAGGCTGCAGGTTGGTGGTGCTACCAGCATACAGGCTCTATCTGTCCTCCAGCCCTGTCATTCCCAGTATGCTGGCTTTGTGTATCCATGCTGTTTCTCAAGTAGTTACCAGCTGCTGCCTGCATCAGTCAGGACTCAACTAGAGAAACAGAATCACTATGAGTGATGAAGAATGTGGAACTTATTAGGCTCCAGGCCTGCATTGTCCAGTATGGTAGCCACTAGCCACATCTGCCTATTTAAATTGAGATTAACTAAAATTAAATAAGAGTAAAAATTTAGTTTCTCTGTTGCACTAGATACATTTCAAGTGCTCAATAGCTACATGTGGGCAGTTCATGTATAAAACGCTTCCGTCATCACAGAGGTTCTATTGCACAGTGCTGCCTTAGACCGTACACAGCATGGGAGCTGGTGGAGGAGTCTATACAAGCTGTTTATTGTCTTTGGTTCTAGTGTTGAGCCTGAAATCAATGTGGTTTAGCCAGAATGGCAGTCAGGGTAGAAATCCGGACAAGGATGAGGGCAAGAACAGACTGGAACTTGTGAGTACAAACTGGAATTCATGAATGACTGAAGTCCTTGAGGACAGACTGGATCTGCATGTGTCTTTCACTACCTCCAATATTGAAAATATGGGTGTCTAGCAGAAGAAGCTGGCACCCTTCACAGAGCTGCAGATGCACTTGTCTGAGGACTTGAAGAAGCTGAAGGGGGAGATCTGGTGGGAGCTGGAGGAGCTGTAAGTCTGGGTGCTGCCCCATGCCAGCAAGGTGAACGAGCACCTCAGGGACAATGCGTGAGAGCTGCAACATGCCTAGAGCCTTACATTGTCTTTCAAAACATAAGAACCATGGCTGCTGCCTTCCAGATCTCATGCAACATTTCTTTTGTG